AGTGTGATGCCCAACAGTAACAATTTTGCAATGCAGAGGTAAGACCCATCAGCAAGGCTTAAGCATCCAGGTAGATGCTTACACTGACCATCCAGCCAAGAACACAACACAAAACATAGAATGGATCCAGGAATCATTTTCATTGTAATACTGATGGACTCTTGATCATTCAGATAATTTCAGGGTTGAGATGAACAGTACTAAATAAAATGAAAGTTCTGTATCTTTCACATTCCCTCAAATTTAGTTAAATAACTAAATAACTCGAAGACAGCAAAAAAGTCTGCACATAAATATATTTCTATCAATAACAGCTTCCCGTTACTTAGACAGTGAATATGAATCCTGATCATTTCTTGCTCTTTTTCTCCTGTCGGGTTTTATTCCAAACTGCTCCTTATTTGAACACTGCAATTTTCAGTAATTACTCATACATCCTACAGCCAAAATGTTAAAATTTCTGACTTGAATTGTGATTTTTATTACTGCTCTGGAGAGAGGTAAAAAAAACATTCTTTTCAATAAGTAATTAGCATTCATGTGACAGACAATCTCAAATGAATTAAATTAGTGAGTGAGGCTTTATAGCGATACAATTTAATGGTCTAGATTCTTATTTTGAGAGAAATCATATACATACAGTCTGCCAAAAAAAATTAAGCAATTTTCATCCATATGCCTTAAATGTTTCATTCAGCATTAAACCATCCCATTGGAAGCATATCTCCACATTGTAAGATCTGCTGATAATTTTGATGGACTGCAGTCTGGAATCAACCCAGAATTAAAGAAGGTTCCCAAACACAGCCTCGTAAAATGCCAGCAACACAGAAACCATTTCTGAGAAGCAATAAACTGATGCATACACTCACTATGAGCTATTTGTGTGTAAAGCCACTGTTTCTTTCATGTTCTTGGTCATTATTTTCTTTTTCTCACTTACAATTTGACCTTCTGTATAACTGTAAAACTTATCCATTTCGTAAGTTGTAGATAGTTTATGTTCCAGTATATGGTATTATAAGAAAATATTTCTATTGCATAGTAACTGTCTAAGTAATGATGCACAGAGGAAGTTTCCAAAAAAGTAAAGAGTTCTATGATAACCAAAAAACTATGAAGCCTTGAAGCATACTTTGTCATGTAGTATGCCCTTGTTAAGAGTTTACAAACCTCATAGTGAACTCTTAAGAAACAGAATGAATTAGGCATGAAGGCTATGTACTGAAGTTTTAGGAAGCATAAAATTTATGCGGAAAAAAACAATAAAGAGCTCAAGTGAAGTGGGTGCTAATTTACTAAAGTCCAAAGAGCATGTGTGCATAAATACTAATATTTCATTCACTGTCTGACTGTATTGGACTTCAGTTGCATAGCAGGATCATGCACCCATTTCCCTCTGATGGTATCAAGATCCAAAAATTCTTGTCATATAAAGAGCCAACAGATTTTGATTTGACAGCTAATAATCAATAAATCAGTCTAAAATCTTTCCATTTCAGATGACAAATACCTGTGATTAGTCACCACATATTGGCAAAGGCAAAATATAGAAGTTATCATTAAGTTGATGTGGGAGATGCTTAATTGGCATATATATTTATATTTAATAGAGATTTATATACTGCTTATATAATTCACAATTTGGGTATCTATCATAAGCTGAAGTGGCAGTATCAAAATAATACCCATTCTCAATTTCCACTGATTTTAGCAGCCACTTCTTTAATAACAATGGAGAAAATCCTTCATTCAGTGCAGTGATATATCACACACTGTATGCTGCTTCTTATGGAAGATACTCTTTACAATCCCACCTAAAATGGGAGAGAAGGAGAGATATAAGGAAAAAGACAGAAAGAGAAAAAGAAAGAGAAAGAAAGAAGGGGAGGGACAAAGAGAGAGATGGCACCCTCCCACCCCATAACCCACTCCTGAACACCAGCCAAACCTGCACCAATGCCACCAACTGGAACCTTCTCGACAGTCACTCCATTGTACTTACTTGGTCGTGGGCGTCGCTCCGGCTTGGTCGCGGGGGCGGTGGCATGGGTGGAGGGTGGGCGGGAAGTGCGCTTCGGCGAACGGTTCTCTGGGCCAACACTTACAGACCGGCCTCCTGGAGAATGGAGTTATGTTTCATTGGCGCTGTTTGCCCTGTTCATATTGGGATCTAGCCTAGCAGGAGCCAGTTGTTTTTGGTAAGCCAACGGCTTAAGATTATGAGTAAACAGTAAACTCTATCAAGTGCATGAACTGTGCATATTTGTCATTAGGACAGTGGAGGGGGCTTTACAGAGTGCTGTGTGTGCACGTTTATGGGAGGGATGAAACAGTACTGGAAAAGATTTCTGCATGCCTGAAACTCTGAACTCTTGAAGGACTATACAAAAATCTTAACTCTATCCTATTTTTTCCATTCAAAATATATCTTTATGGAATGAAATGTATATATATATATAAAAAAATGTTTCAGACTGCTTACAATCATGAAAAATTA